AATGCTTCATCCGGAGAGAGACTTGCTGTGGGGTAGGTTTTTGCAATTACGCATGTTGCTCAGTGACAATAAGTGATTTTTACAGCTGTAGTTAAAAAAATGATATGCACGTCCATTCTGCTCTGCTGTTTGGTGGCTAGAAAGTGCTAATTTCTGGCAACTGCTCATAGATCCGTAACTAAAAGATTTGGAGTAGTTGGCAACGTTATTTGTAGCTTCAGCGTTGCAGGAAAAATTCTGAATACTCATTTACTCTAGCAATATGGTTTGTTTTATCAATTCCAGTTATTCATTTCACAGAGGAGTTGATGTGACACTTAATATTTTGAGGAAATGCTTTAATTTTCTCTTATTGCAAGTTTTACGCGAGCACTGTCTTAAATATAAAGCTGGAAGCAGCATGTTGTATCTCGCATAATATGTGTAAAATCTGAAGTGTGCATGACACGTGCTGCTTTTATGGGGGTTGTAGGGTCCGTATGCATCAGGGGTGTGTCTAGCGCTGCTTTTCTGCTGGCCATTTTGAAGGTGCGAGTGGCTTAGTTACTGCTTCTCCTTTGGATTGTCACCAAACCTCAACGCTTGCACGTGCAATACATGCATGCTTAAGTAAAGTACCACCAGAATTACCTCTGAGAAATACACCTACAGTATTTGGTAACTAGGATAATCATGTTGCTGATCAGTTGGGTCATTACTTTTCCTGTTTTACTGATAGTCTGGTTAAAGCTCCATTCCAGTATAAAAAAGACACCCAACTCGACGGATGAACCAGTGTTGTATGAACAGGAAACTTTGCAAAGATCCCATTTTGAATTGTGCCTTCAGGGACTTTGTTGCTAACAGCATGTGGCAAAAACTCGTCATTTGTTCCCATTTCTTTTGCTCAATTTATAAAAAAACCCCAAAGACAACACAGTTTGACAGCAACAACAAGGTGATTCTCAAAGAATTCAAATTTGGCAACATATTTTGGCATGCTGTGCAGTGTCTTACGTTTAAAAAAATTAAAAAAAATAATAATAAAAATTAGGAAACTGGACAAGTGGAGGGTGGGTGTCAGGCACTCTTCTGTCAGTTTCCTTTTCATATGAAAAAGACTGTAGCCCTCTATTTTCTAGCACCCCGTACTACCATAAATTGAACGAGTAGTTAAGGAAATAGATGGATAGAAATCCAGATTTCAACACTTCCAAGTGGAAACTGGGTGGGTGGGTGGTACACCTTTCATTCCTTACATGCTCTCAAAAGTTGGCTGATTTAGTTTGTTTACTGATAATCCAGGCTTTTAGGCTTCGTGGGTAACTCAGTGGTAGCTCCCCATCAAAACACAGACTGAAGGGTGTTCAAACCACAAAAGCAGAGCAATTAACATATAAATGATTTGTTTTTGTCTTACAAGCTTTCATAATGAGAAAAGGCAAATTTATATTTTAAATGAAAAAGCCTTTTAATCGAGGCTACATAACAGCAAAAAACCTTTGAATGAATACAACAAACTCGTACAGCGGTTGGAACAAACCCCTCAAAAGTCAAGTTACATGTAATTTGCAAAGCAGTTTAAGTGCAGTGTTAAACGGTGAATGTTTTGTCTTAAACGCCTGCGTGGGAGTCCTACGTTACTGGGATACTGCAAAGCTAACTGGAGAGTCGCCAACAGGCTGTGACAGTTGCTACTCTCGTGGGACCTGCTTAGCAAAAAATGCAATCTGACTCAAAGCAGACATAACTCAAGGCTGAATTTAGAGGTTTTTAAACAGTTGAGGATGCTGCCCATTAATCAGTTTTCCTGGCAGCAACTTGCCAGCCACCTCAAGAGCTATGAGGCGTAGGTGACACAACCTTGCAGGATTACACTAAACTAATAACTAACCAGGAGGCCACTGTTAAGTGT